AGTGGCTTGGACTGCGGAGCTGGACGTTGTGGGTTTGATTCCTCTGTGCCACCCTTTTTGTAAATTTTAGCAGGCAGGTTGCAAAACCTGTCGACATCAAAAAAGTTAATTTACACAATATGAAGCAATATATTTACATAGGCACTGAACCACCGTTTAACCTAAAAACACTCGTCTTTAGCCCTTTTCATTGAATTTACTCAATTTTACATTGAAAAAATTCAGAATTCGTGCTTAAGATAGAAAGGAGAACGTGTTCTTTGCTTTGCAACTTTTGTGCTTTCATATCATATGTGTTCATGAAGGCAAATTGAGTAAATCTGATGAAAAAGCTAAAAACTAGTATTTTTAGGTTAGACGATGGTTCAGTGCCAATGTAAATATATTGCTTCATATTGTGTAAATCAACTTTTCTTTGATGTCGACAGGTTTTGCAACTTGCCTGCAATTTACAAAAATGCAAAACGGGTGGCATCCCAGAGGAGTCGAACCCACGACGTCCAGCTCCGCAGTCCAAGCCACTATCCACTGCACCAAAAATCTTCTATAACTCTTCCAAATGACGTCATAGCAGATATGGAATGCAATTTAGAGATCCCCATCTGGGGACGGTATATGCGGTATACACCGCTTACCCGATCGTCACTGCGATCAAGTATCCTTCCCTTAGCAGTTAGCAGTAAGATATGAGGGATTTATCTTACAGATATATCTACTGATTCGCTGTAACTGACAAAAAATGTCATTTCTCTTTCATTTCATAAGATATAGACTTAACATAGATATAGGCTATACTTATTAGTTGGATTTTTACTTATTGGTTGGTTTTTGTCTTGCTTCTCTTACAAGCGAAGGCGTCTATCTGTTTATCTATCTCGAAACTGTCACAAGCCTCAGAAAACCTCAAGGCTTGAAAGTAAATATGTTCAAAAAATCTTTTTAAAGAACGTGGAAGAAACGGGCAGCAAACAAGCATCAACCAGTGAGGTTCTTAAGAGAAAAGTAAAATGTATTTTGATTATTATGTTCGTTTTTGTGGTGTTTATATTTCCAGGTTTTTTATTTTCCAAATTTATTCAATTTTTTATGCCACGTATCTATTGCAGAGCTTTTGAAATAGTGCAAAAAGAAGGCAACACTGTAATAATTCTCATTGTACCCTAATTTCACGCGTACAAGGCGCGGGGTGGTCCTAGCTTTCATCGACCAGCCCGAACACGGCAAAGGACTTCGCAACCGAAGGAACCCCATACCGTGCTGCGTTTTGCCTGACGAATCGTGCGGCATAAGGATCGCTTCTTAAAACACGTTGGGGCGGCTGAGCAACTCGATGAAAGCTAGGACCACCCCGCGCCTTGTACGCGTGAAATTAGGGTAATTGACATAAATACTTTTTTCCATGGAATATGTGGTTGTTGTGTTCACAACGGAGGTGAATCTCCTATAGCTACTTGATCGTGATTCACTCTCAAATAACTTTCCCAAAACAATGTGAGTGGTTTAGTACAACCTTTTAGAAAAATAAAGCTGCGTCCGTAGTCACCCAATGGCACCATAACGAGTTACAGGTTTTTCTTCTAGAAAACAAGAGTCTATGTTTTCCCCCACAGAAGCTGTGTGACTCTCAAAATATACTGCACAGTGTACCTTCAACAAAAAAACATGAGCAAGCAACAGTTTTGATGTCTTTGATCGCATTCGTGTTATGTTGTCAACAAATTTAACAAGAAATCTTGCGCTTGCAGTCACTATGGGGAAGAGGAAGAAAAAAATGTTTGAGCGATGCCCCTTCCAAGACCGTTTTTCGTTCATGGTCTCTTGGATTTTCAGACTTTTTTCAACAAAAAAAACTCCCACGCCATTGTTGCGTAACCGATAATTTGGGCCATCAGGGAAGATGGGATGTAAAAATAGAGCTGAGGAACACACTACGATAAGGACCTAAATATCGGAAGCATACTAGGTAAAGGCAGTCATCATACGCAGAGAGTGGACGCCGTTCCGTTCGGCCAAAGCTTGCGCTTAGGGGAGTCAGAAGATGGCAAGAAGGAAGAAAGTACGCATGATAAGAGAGACGCCGACAACATCCGTAGTTACATCCTGTCTGCGCGTACGACGAATTGCCTATAACTGATCCCACAGGACTGATAATTTGGTGACTAATTTAGAAACCACAAAAGACGCTGCTGATAGAACTTTTTTGTAACTGAGAAAATTATGACGAATTAATTAACGAGTGAGAATAGGTCTGGGTTATAAAAAAACTAGCTGGATTACCCGGCTCCGCTCGGCCCTGTCAAAACGCTATGATAAAGCTCCATCCCTACCTCTGTACAACCACTTACTGTGCCCACTTTTACATACCAACTCCAAATCCCTATTCCCGCTATGTTAGTTATCAGCATGCTCATTTATCGCTGGGCGAATTTCCGCCCCATAACTCAAAATTTACAAAAAACCGATAAAATTGAAAAATGTAACGGATAATTTCATAGTACTGTACTCGTAATCAGCTTGCTCAATTACCCCCCCCCCCCCTGTGCCGACTCCCAGCCCCGTAGTCAAACTTTGCAAAAAAATCGATAAAAGCGGTGAAACTAATGGATAATTCTAAAAACTAATATTGTATTCGCAATCAACATGCTCGATCCCCCCTCCCCCGCCTATGCCAACTCCCAGCCCCACAGGTCAAACTTTACAAAAAAATCGACAAAAATCGATAAAATCGATATCAATCGATGACGAAAAGTAGCCTATGACACCTGCCCCGCCCCGAAGTGTATGTGTGCCAAGTTTGGTCCGGATCGGTTCGGAAATGGAATTTTCTATTGGGAACATACAATGCGTCTGACGAGGCCAGCGCCGGGTAGTGCAGTCTCACATCTACGCGCGAGCGTTACCGTACTCGCAGCGTGCAGGGACCATGCTGCGCACAACATCGCGAGCCTTGTTTTCATGATTGTAGCTCGTGATTTTCCGTCCTTGTAGCAGCGGATGCCGTTTATCTTGCTTCTATGCTCACATGCTCTCTGTCTTGGTACCGGATATAATTTTTTTCGCAGCACAGGAAGGAGGTATCAATTTTTTGAGCGTTTCTCCTCATGACATCTTCCATTTCATCCAGACCTTCTTCGGATGGCTGATTTCGGATGTCATGATTCATTGTACCGACTCGTGTTTTAACAACATAAATCGTGTATCGTTTATTTGAGTGGACAGGACCAAGGTGCTGTTCACTCAAACTGTTCTACCAAAGTGTACGATATACGATTACACCTTACCATATTCAGCTTTAGCTGTAATGAGAAAGAGCACAGTCGTTTTCAGAATTCTCAAATGAAATGATTGAATTGAATCTTCTTCGAAAGACCTTAACCCTCCATCGTCTTCTTTTCGCGCGATAATGCTTTCAAAGATCGCAGGAAGTATTAGGTCGTTCCGAAAGTAATGTCGCTTTCTTCGAATGAACGCCACCATTCGTGAAATCAATATTTTTAAGAGATCCTAGGAGCATTCGATGCAGCATTTCATCCTCTTTCTAATGGTTCTAATTTCACTGCATAATGTTTAGTGAGCTCTCGAAAAAATACCAAAATCTGCGACTCATGCTTTTTGTCATAGTCAAGTTCGGCTATTTTTCTAAATTTTTGTACCTAATCTCCGAAAAAGTACAAGTGGCAAGTAGATAGAGCAAACACTATAGAACAGAGTAATTTTTTCTTTTCCTTAGCTTGCTTCTAAGAGTTTCTACAATCAATTTCTCAATGCCATCAAATTCCATATTTAGTCAAGTCAAACCTCACAGAACAACAACCGGCAAGTGACTCGAGTGTCATTCAATGCAGCTTTTTCTCCTCTTTCTAGCGGTCGTTTATTGTTTCCGATTCATCAAGTTTTCCGGGATAAAATCATCATAATTCAACTTTTCCAAGGCACCCCAACGTACCCAAAATTTTCGAAAGCTGCTAAACCGAAGCTGTAAATGCTCGTTTGGTTTGTAAATTTGTTGCCAAACCATAATCCACCTTTGTAAGTTTCAAAATCCGGAGACATGTTGGCATTTGATGCACTTTTGTCTGAGATGAGCCCTAAAATTCGGTGGTTCCATCAAGAAATCTGTACAAAAATTATGACGAGCTCTGGAAAGTAGAAAAAAGTTGTGCTGTTTCTGTTTGGACGCAAATCATCTGCAGCATTTCTCCAAAATTCTTTTTATGGGCTTTTGAAAACTTTCGTTCACATAGGTGACGTACATGAGGATCTGAAGTACTGAGATTTTCAGCGGAAATGATACGTAGAGACGGAAAAGGTTGCAGTGTTCAACAAATCTAGGCATATTTTCGCATATGTCAAAGATTATTGCGCAAATAACTACGCAAAAATCTCGAATGTATATTACCGTAATCAAGCTTTGTCGCTGTTACTTTTGAAAATTTCCGACATTAGGACGATATCATCCTTAATCTGACACATAAATCCTCTTCCAGCAGGGCGTTCGGAGAGATACGAGGCGGGGCAAGTCAGAAATTTTCTTTGAAATGGGCAATTTTGCATTTTTGACGTCAAGTTATTCACAACCCGCGGAAAATTTCTAACATGCTACACAATCTTTCTGTGCGCTTATAACTTAACAAAAGGTTGCTTTTATTTTCGGTGAAGAAAATTTAGCAGAATTTGAAAATCATTTGAAAATTAATTTGTGTTCTGAAACATTCTCACTCTTGATTACAAAACAAGAACAAACTTGCGTCCCTTCGCTCTTCACTTGGTTCGCCACTGTCTTCTAGGGTTATCAACTTTCAAACTAATGGTTATCTACTAGAAACAAAAAAGTTCAGCTTGTTATCAAATGAAGCACGAGAGTGGGAGGTCGGAAGACAACAAAAATTTATGAAAATTTGTCTTGTTCTCAGTGCGTATTTTCAATCACAGGAGAAAGTACCATGCCATCAATTTTTGCTGTAAATTGAGTGAAATGTTGATTAAGCTTACTTTGATGAATGCGGATAATTTCTCGTTTGGACCATGGGGTATGAAATTTATCAAGTTTGATCGCCCATAACTAATTACCGTATGCTTTCTCACCATTGGCTGAAACTGCTGATTTTTAGTTCGGGCCAAACGCATGGTATCCATTCCGTGGTCTTACCGAAGAGTTCAAACGACGCCTGGCTGTTTATCCATCGGATTTCACCGATGGCGTCACGGGCCATCGTACAATGTCAAAACTATTCTCTACAGTAGTGTTTCTTTACTTCGCCTGTATTCTGCCTGCAATTGCCTTTGGTGTGCTCAACGATGATAATACGAGAGGAGGCATAAGTAAGTTCGACGGACCATTTTTTCTAGGGTTTTTCAATTTTTTACTGAAATTTTGCAGATGTTCGGAAAGTTGTCATTGCTCAAGCTATTGGTGGTATATTCTTCTCGCTGTTTGGCGGTCAGCCGATGATCATTCTGCTCACTACCGTTCCCTTAGCTATATACATAAAAGGTTTTTTCTAAGACAAAAAATGTACCGAATCTAGTGAAACGTTTTTTAGTGATATATAAAATATCTGAAGAGCTTGGTTACGATTTTTTCGCCATGTATGCATGTGTTGGCTTATTTTGTCAAATGTTTCTTGTACTCTACTCGGCTACTGAGTTATGCAGTTTGATGAAACTGGCTACGAGGTAGGCAAAATACGATCGTATTTTAATAGAAAAACATGTGATTTTTGTTTTGATTTTGGCCTTTTTTCAGGTCAGCCGAGGAGATGTTCTCTTTATTTATTGCTATAGCGTTCAACGTAGAATGTATGCGGGCCATACATTCTAGTAAGTTTAGTGTCGTTTGTTTTCAATTATTTTTGCTCCATGAATTTATATACTCAAACTGAGCAGTAGCCGAAAGATACTTGGAGGGAGGGGATGATAGAAATTTGAAAATAAGGTTAGATATTGACCAGCTTTCCAAGAAACTTTACCAATTTTTGGAAAACTTCAAAGGCGTTTGACGCAAGCCATGTTTCCGAGAGTTTTTGCAGAGTTTTATGAAACTGAAAACAGAATTTATAGAGATTATTAGGGTGTCTCATAATTTTTTACCCTTTTCACTACAACCGCCGTATTCAGCATCTTTCTTTCATCTGATGTGGCTTAAGTAATCATTCGAAAGGGCAAAGCAAGCTCTACAACATGGCTATCAAAAGTCTGTCCAACTCATATCCCACCTGAAGTTTTGAGATGATAGTAGTCAAAAACGAACTTTTCTTCCAAAAATCGTATCTGCGCCCCAAATCATCTAAAAAATTCCCCATTTATTTCAGCATATGCTTGATACATCGCGTATTCAATTGTACACTTTCCGAATTTTTTTCATGGCTAGAAATAAAGAAGGAAAAAAGTGAGGTGAAATGGTAAACTCCGCCGCTAGACGTCCTGAGCTCCTCTTACGCATGTGAGCATATTACCCATGCATACAGAAGTACAATCATGTATTTGTGTACTTTGTAAATGCCTCAGTTCTCAAGAATTGCTAAATTTAGGTTAAAAACGGTAAAAAATTATGAGATAGCCTAACATTCAGTTGTTTATGAGTAAAAACAAAACGCTAACACACTTTTATGACTTATATAAGTCACTAAAAACACGTTCAAACAAGAGTTCCCAAACCATTTTCCTCTCCCAATCGGAGTCATAAGTTTGTCGTAGAACGACCACCTACTCTTTGTTCATATTTGCCTTGGCCTCTCAAAATGGCTAACTAAGCATCATGCAACATGATTTCCTTGAGAATTTTTTATTTGAAAATTCAGTCAAATAAATATGCTTTGATATGAAATAGATACATGCGAATGGCATAAATAGAATGTTTGAAGTACTTTTTAGTATTCAAAAGGAACTACAGTGGATGCGATTCCATGAACACTACCAATGTAAATTCGACCTTAATTAATGCTACATCTGAGATGGTAATACACTTATTAACCCTGCGTTCTTACTCTTAATTCATCTCTGTTCTTCCAGGATAATGGCGCATTATGTAGGAGGGATACGACGATACTTTACATGCTTCTAATGTTTGGAACGCTTTGGTTGGGTCTATTCCTTTACAATTTCAGGAAGGTAGGGACCATGGCAATAGTTTTTTACTTTTTGACTCTTACTTTGTATCATTCCAGACCCCATATTTGACGAGATCGCGTCGAGAGTGGCTAGCCGACTACGCTTTACCAGCTTCTGTCCTAATCATGTCATTCACTGGATCTTACTGCTTTGCCGATATCGAAAGTAAGTCATAAACTATGAATAAATACAACAACGTGCACTTCATTTTTTTTACAGAGGATCGTTTCAAACTTCGCGAGAATGTGCCAATCGTACATCTAGCTGATATCTTCTCATTGCCACCATCCGGATATTTTGTGTGCCTTCTTTTAGGATTCTCTTTGTCATTTTTATTCTTCATGGATCAAAATATTACATCTGCAATCGTGAATAACCCGCAAAATAAGTAAGCATACCTTAGGGTTTGCTCCATCCATCTATTACTTGGACTCCTTCTGAGGTTTGTTATAAAATTTTAGAAAAAGAAACTTGGCCATTTCAAAAAGCATAGGTCGCAGATTTTGACTCTTTTCTGGAAGCTCATTGATTGTATTGCAGTAACTTCATAACCAGTTAGAAGGAGAATGAAATGTTGCATCAAATGCTACCAGAATCTCTTACACGTCTTTGTTCCACGAGATGTGGCATACGTTTGAAAAAAGCGACATTACTTTCGGAACGACCTAATATTAGTAAATTAGATTTATGTACCTACCCGCTACACATCAGGTAAAGGCAAGGCCAGCCTTTAACCTGACATGAAGGACCCGGAAAGATTTGAGTTTACCTCCCCCCCCTCCCCTGTTTTTTCATTTATCTACAAAGAATAAATTTTTTTCATTCTTTTTACCCCCTAATTTTTAGAATTCTAAAAATTACTTTTGAAAAGAGAATTAATTTTCTTTTGGGCAAATTCACCCCTTCCCTCCCCCCCTACCTTCCCTCTTCGTCTCCAACGAACCGTCGACGGACACAAACGAACGAATTAGTGACATCAACACTGTTCTATTAAAAAGAATATCTAATCCTTTCAAAAAATAAAATATGTACCAATAATAACCTAATATCTGAAAAGGAAGTCCTGCGAACAGTTTCAAACGTCGATCTACAATTTCCTAAATCTAGATCTATAACTAATAAAATAAATTAATCCGAGAACCGAGATGTGAGAACCGAGAACCGAAAACCGAGATTTAGATTTCCTTTCAATTTTCTTTCACGCCCTTTTCTTTCTGAAACCGGAAATTTTTGAAGTAGCATCCATGATTTTTTTCTTTCCTTTTGCAACCGCAAAATTTTTATAACCGCAATTTTTTCATTCTCTTACTTCGTCATTATAAAATCATCCCTCCTATTTTTTCCCGAGAACCGAGATCCGAGATCCCAAAACCGAGAACCGAGATCCGAGATCCCAAAACCGAGAACCGAGTCAAATCGCTATTACATCCAACGTGGAATGCTGACCTCCAGAATAACTTCAACCGCGCAACTGTCCACTAGCCCTTATCACCCAGGCAATTTAAGAACGCAACTGTTATACGCATTAAACAATGCAATAAATAAGGCGGCGCGCATCAACAAGAATATTTATGCCCCCCCCCTAATATTTCCAATGAATGTGACCCCATCAACTGTGGCTTACACTACAATTGCAACACTATTTTCTGTCACAATGAAATAAACAAATACAATAAGTAGTTTATTCAAAGAAAAAAAACAATGCAACAACCAATAACAAAATAAATATACATATATCAATAAAGCCGCTCAATATAGTTGTGTTTTTTTCCGCGGGCTTTGCACGACTTTTTAAAAGAGTCGCAGTGTAAGTTTTCCAACTTCACCTCTGAGATTCCAGCCAAATTCCTCAGAAGGAACTTGGCGAAGTTTTCTGGAAGTGGGGCAGCTCGTCCGTACTTGACCAAGCGCAGGGTGCCCATGTGCAGCCGCACCCAAGGATGGTCCGCGGGCGTTTGTCCGGGCGGAAGATGTTGAACCTCTTCTTCTTGCCCGACCTCATAGGGGCTGAAAAAAAACTTTTTTATTGGATTTTCAGAGAGAGGAAAAAATATTTTTGTGTTTCACTTGAAAAAAAATTATAATAAAATTCAAAAAAAAAGAGGAGCAACTCACCGAAGAAAAATTCGTCCCGGTCGGTGGTCACGCGGACCATACCTTCGCCGTGGGTGATGAACTCTATGAACGTCTCCATCGCGTTTCCTTTCTGGAGGAAGTGGTAGAGCAGTTCTTCTTCTTCCTCCGTGTGCAGCGCACGGATCTTGGCCTTGTGCGCCTCGAGGGCCTTGGTCAGCACTTCGTGCGCTGTCCGCAGATCTCTCACCATTCTGGTTAGATTCTAACTACACGTAATTTAATTTAAAAAATTTTAGAAAGTTGAATTTAAAAAAAATTTTTCCTTCTCTCTTTCTTTTCCCTAAATTCGATCTAACTTAAATTTTTAAAATAAACATACCTTTTCGTGCTCCTGGCGCAGGTATTCCGCCCCCCTGAATTGATTATCGCGCAGCCCCCTGCTCCATTGCAGGGCTTGCACTTGTCTTTTAGCCACCTCCAGCTCCCCCTCCAGTTGCTCTATCTTTTCTAAGGATTGAGTTAAGTGCAACTCAGCCCTTGCGGTGGCGTTGTAGAGAGCAACCGGGTCAAGAAGGCTCGCCCGGAGCCGGGAAGACTCACGTCCCCTAACAGCTCCTCGACGTCTTAAGCCTTAAAAGCACAAAAATGAAATAAAAATTAATTTTTTTTCTTTTTCGTTTTTTTTAATAAAAAAATCCAAAGTACGTAGGAAATTAATGTAAAATTATATACTAGGTTGGCCCGAAAGTTCTGTCGCACCATTTTGAAAAATTCATAACTTCTGGTATTTTAAACCGATTTCCGATTTTTCATTTTTACATTAAAGAGCAATTCATTCTCTTCGTACAGGTGCCTTAACGGCTTTCTGATAAGCATTTATTTCATAGATAAAAGCGGTAGAAGAAAACTAGTCAAAATTCGAATTTTCTGTGTAGGGTCATAAAAAATCGGAGACCTGCAACAAAAATCGGAGCAGTCAGTATTGTAGGTTCTTTCACCAGCTCTTTGTAACTGTGCAAAGTTTGCGCCGATTGAGCGGCTCTATGAAAAGTTACGATTTTCGAGCAAGCAATACAAAAGTGCGAATTTGATTTATTTCGGCATTTTTCAGGAAAATCGTAACTTTTCATGAAGACGCTCAATCGGCGCAAATTTTGCACGGTTAGCAAGAGCTGGTGAAAGAACCTACAATACTGACTGCTCCGATTTTTGTTGCAAGTTTCCGATTTTTTATGACCCTACACAGAAAATTCGAATTTTGAGTAATTTTCTTCTATCGCTCCTATCTCTCCAAAAGATGAACATTAGTAAGCAGCAAAGATGTTTTTATTAAGAGCATGACCTACTCTTTCACATAAAAATAAGAGCGGTCAAATCGGTTGGAAAAATCAGAAGTTATGAATTTTTGAAAATGGTGCGACAGAATTTTCGGGCCAACCTAATACTTACGTATGCCGGAGTGGTGACTCCGGACAAGATCCTCCACGGTTGGCGAGGAAGAGTTTCGCACAGCTTCCCTTACTGCTTCGCGGATTTCCAACTCCGCTTCCCAGGCTGTTTGACGGGCAGATCCTCCATTTCCGCTGGTGAACATTGTTAGTTGTTGAGGGATAGTTGAGATCGGTTACTGAAACATGAAAAAATAAATATAAGTTGAAATTACAAGCCTGTGCAGAGCATTTATTCTAGGTGAAGGTCGTGTCTGCTCGCAGTCCACCGGATCCATATCCTCGCATTTGTATGTATTTTAATATTAGGTTGGTGCAAAGATAATGAGCGTTTTTATTTGCTTGCTTTAACAAAGCAACCAGTCTCAACCCAACAAAGGGTAAGGGGTACTGTTCGATAGAGCAAAGCAAGCTCTACAAGATGACTCATGTCTTTGCGCCATGCTCGATCCAAGGAGAGTTCGAACTCAAAATCTAAAGATTTCCAAATGCCCAAAAAATCGAAAAAAATCAGATCTTCGTCCAAATAATTTCTACGGACCTCCCACTCGCTCACATCAATACTATCGATACCTGATATCCATATGTGCGATTGCCGTATTTTTTTTCTCGACTAGAGACTGAGAAAACGAAAATTTCCCTGATTTTCTCAAAGCAATGCTGAGCCGTTTTTGCACATGCAGTTCTATACTGCAAGCCTAGGTGAGCGTAACTGTAGGTTTTCAGCCTATTTCGAGCGGTACTTTTCAAGAAATGTCGATTTTAGCACTGAAACTGAAACGAAAAATCCGAATTCGTTATTTTTCGAAAACTATCGCTTGGAATGGGCTGAAAATCTACAGTTATGCTTACCTAGGCTTGTAGTATAGAACTACATATGCAAAAACGGCTCAGCATTGCTTTGAGAAAATCAGGGAAATTTTCGTTTTCTTAGTTTCTAGTCAAGGAAAAAATACGGCAATCGCACATATGGATATCAGGTATCGATAGTATTGATGTGAGCGAGTGGGAGGTCCGTAGAAATTATTTGGACGAAGATCTGATTTTTTTTCGATTTTTTGGGCATTTGGAAATCTTTAGATTTTGAGTTCGAACTCTCCTTGGATCGAGCATGGCGCAAAGACATGAGTGTCATCTTGTAGAGCTTGCTTTGCTCTATCGAACAGTACCCCTTACCCTTTGTTGGGTTGAGACTGGTTGCTTTGTTAAAGCAAGCAAATAAAAACGCTCATTATTTTTGCACCAACCTAATATATTACTACTTCAACTGTACGTTCTCGCCGTGTATCACGTGTAAATTTCAACACACGTTACTCGGAAGAACATCCGCAATATCTGAGTATATCACCACTTCGATTGCATGTTCTCGCCGTAAATTACGTGCAAACTCTAACGCACGTTACTCGAAACATCAACCACATTAACGCCAACAACTACAACGTTTCGAAATTTCAGCCATGCCACAAGCACGAGGACGAGCTTCTCGAAGGAATGGAGATGTCGGGTCCATCACAGCTGTTCCTCCTCTTGGTGCGGGTTGTAAAGCTCTCTGAGGACAGTGACCCCCGACGACCGCGACCAGCAGGTTGCACCCTGCAGCCTCTCTCCCTTTTCCCCTTGCCCTGTTTATGTTAAAAAACAAATATTAGTAAATTAGACTTATGTACCTACCCGCTACACATCAGGCAAAGACAAGGCCAGCCTTTAACCTGACACGCAAATCACGCAAAAATTCGCGTCTTCATTTGAATCTTTTGGATAGAATATGTCTGAAGTTTACTACAGGAAACACGCATGAAAGCTATGACGTTCCACGTACCTTCAGGCAAGTTTTCGGGTAAGTCCTTATGATATTTTTGCTCCTCATTCTATTCAAGTTTACCTTAGCTTCATTCCCGATCTCTAGAACTTTGTGGTACTTGCTATATGAACGTATACGAGATGCCATTTTCGCGATTTGCTGAGCGAATACTAACAGCTGTAATTAAGTAGAAATTTATTTTTTACCATAAGAAGATATTTGTTAACTATGCGAGAGGTAAGATAATTAGTAAACTTCTTCTATGCCATTGACACAAAAACACTGAAAAAATTTATTAATGTTACTCAAAACTATGCGCATGCAACAATACTTTTAGGTTCTTTTAGCGATTCTAAAATCAAACTAACCTTCTGCTCCCACCGCTTATTTAGCCTATGCAACTGACGATGGTAATAAAGGATTGCAAAAATGACAACAATAAACGCGATAAACAAGAGAGAAATGGATAAACTGCTATTTCCCCATTCGCCACATCTTCGTCTGGAAAATAGTGATCACGGCTACTGCCCTGGTCATGTTGTGTTGGTCCGATAGGTATACGATTTGACTAAAAATTAGAATGAGCACATGTGATTGCAGATTTTGTAGTCATATAGCAAATTCACCTACCGGTAAAGCTATCGTCAAATCCATAGTCGTGTTTCCTGCACTGACTCTTGACACTACTTTCGTCGAGCCAATATGAAGTTCGGCTCCGCGTGGTACCTCCACTACGATTACGGGTTTCTTAAACTCAAGCGATTCAAACGCATCAGCGCCTGCTTTCTTGTAATACATGCGCTTCATGCGTGTTAAAACCACCACTGTCTTTAACAATGGCTCGATCACCGTGAACTAAAAGTTGGTTTATACCCACAAAGATTTGGAATGAAGCTTGAGCAAGCCAAAACTCACTTCCTCATCGCTGGAATTGTGCGTAAGCACACTGCAGCTATGCCGATTGCAAATGCAAGCCGCAAGTGCTTTGCAGTCTTGTCTTGCATAGGAGAATCGACGATCGAGCTCTAAGGAACCTCCTTTGTACTGCAGAAAAAATGGCGAGGTCGGTTCCATCATTCCTTCCAGATGATTCATTTGTATCACGCTGAATAACTATTACTAGAGTTGTTCAAAGCAAGTTTTGAGCAGCTTACAAATCCCTCAATTTCGGATAGTAGTCGATCCATTTCTTCGATTTTTTGTCCAGTACAAAAAATTGCCCTCCGGAGGCCGTTTTGTGATATGAAGCTCGAACTTTCGGATGAGGGTAGGAGCCTACCTGAAACCTGCGCCTATATTTATACAATTTGGGCTTTTATACCCCAGAAATTACTACAAACTACTACCTTTTTTCCGCCTTCCCAATCCACTTCTAGGCGCTTTAACCGTTATGTCGGTGCCCTGTGGAATCCTGATGCAGCCCTCTTCTTCGCTTCAAACGCTTTTATGCTTCCGTACATCATTTTGTAGATTACTTCATTCCTACTCGTGTTACAATGCACTACGTACGAAAAGAGTGCTCTAAACGGCAAAAGCTCATTTAGACTAAATTGTCAAACGGTTTACCAACCCCATCAGGTAATTGTACGGCGCAGGATTTAGCGTTCCGTCATATTCAAACTTATCCATAAGTTTTTCAATGGATAAGTTATCTACCTTATCTTAGCTACCTTTTTATGGTCAACAACTGCTCTTGTCATACAATACATTAATGCCTCCTGCAATGTTGGCTACATGTACAATCATTCCCACAGTACATATCATGAAATTACCCGTTTTTCTTGCGGCACAATACCCTTGAGCGACATTTTTTACTTGTCTTCCGTATTGTATAGCGACCACTCATGATAAAGACGTCTGCGAAATACTTCGTATAGGTCTTGTTGCCGCTGAGATCCTGCCCCTTAATACTTCTTAGGGACTTGAGACTTTGCGCTATCAGATCGTAGTAGTTGCGTTTGCCAGAGATTACTCTTTCCAAAACGCAAAGTAAAAATTTGCGAATATCACCTACGTGCAAGTGGCCATTCGCCTTCAAAATAGGTTTGAAAGCTATAGGAGCGCAGCAGGTACTGAATTTCAAGTTTTATACTCTCCACGAGTCTTCTATATAGGGATCTATTTGAGATTCGATCGATGGAACAGTTTCAATACTTCTTAAATTATGATTTTTCGCTTTCGTTCGCGCAATCGCATCCAAAACTTCCACTAAGCGAGTACACTTGCCTTTATTCAAAATTCCAAAACCTTCTCTCTAAATATTGCAAAAAAAATCTTCTCGTAATATGTTGTAGCCAAAGGCTTGCTTTATCATACTGCACACTTGCCTAATGAAAAAAGCAGTTATTGTGAGGGCGTAGGACAAATTTTACCACGACTGCCCGCGTGCCACGAGAGGCGGACTCGCTAAACTTTCGAAAGGCTGCTTTGAAGCCAAACGAGGGAATCTCAAAATTTAAGAGCTGCGCTATATTTGCAAAGGTTTGAATTATATGTGCACCAAACTTTTTGTTTCTAGGTACTTTCCTTCTGATTTTATATGGAAAAGTACTAGGCTCCTAGAGTTTTGCCCCACCCTGTATGAAGTAAAAATTTGCTTCTTTCTAGTCCTATTGATAAGAATCTCCCAAAAGAAGACAGCGATTCTAATATCAAGTGTCTTAATGAGAGGCTAACGCCTTCTTCCTTCAATCGCTTCATATACGGCACAACAATTTCGCCTGCATATATGGCGTCGTCAACCGTTATTGTCTGTCCCATTCTAAATCTCTTGATATTGATATGGCTGAGAAGGCAGAAAACGTCATTTCAACATGAATATCTATTCACTACATGCTTTTCCAAGCTTTATTGCAAAAGAAGTTTTATGGTATTATCTTGAACATATTCCGTTAGCATGTCGCTACGCTTACCTCTGTCGCGATCTCATAACAACTAGCATGAATCGATCAATGATCTGTGTGTAGTTGTAAATGCCACCAGTAGTTTTTCTTCTGTACTCTATAGTATCTGGCTAAAGAAATATCGTAATACTATTATTAATTGTAAAAAAATTGTTAAAAATCTGAACGTTACCATTCTTTCCAGAATATATTGTTCAAATTGTTGCAGAAGTGGATGTGACCTTCTAACAACCTTTCGCCAGAACTTAAGATTCCTATCCAATTTCAATGCTATAATTGCATATACTTCAGACTCTTAAGCAACACTAATGCAAGATTTGAAAGCTTACCTTCACTGTTCTTTTGCGAAATCTTATGATCTTGAGTGAAGTAGTTTGGATCATAAGTGTCGTATTCATGGCAAAAGTACTGAAGTTTTGGTTTTCTTTTAAATATGTTAGCC